CCCTCCCCTCCCCTCCCCTCCCCTCTTGCGTTGCTGCAGGCGCGCGCCCTCCACCGCCCGCTAGGGGGCGCCTCTGGGCGCGGACCGGCACGGCAGGACCGCAGGCGCGAGCTCGCTCGGGCCTCGCTCCCGTGCAGGTCGGCGCCGCGCGGGTGGGTGGGATCGTGGAGGAATCGCGGACGCCGGGGAAGCGAGGGGGAGGCGGCCGGGCTGGGAGAGCGGTCATGGCGACGACGGCGACGGCGGTGACAGCAGCGGCGGCGGCCGGTCTTCCCGGCAGCGGCGAGGCGCGGAGGCCGCCTTCCCCTCGGGACTGAGGTCGGGGCCACCCAGGCCCTTCCCTCCGGTTCGGCCCCGGCCCCGGCATGGCTGGGATCATCAAGAAGCAGATCCTGAAGCACCTGTCCCGGTGAGAGCCCCGGGCCCGGGCCGCCCCCTCCCCGGGTTCCTGCGCTCCGAGCGGCCGCGGGCCGGGAATCCCCGCGTAGGCGCTCTGTGCTCGGTGCTCCCTGCTCCCTGCCCGGCCCTCCTCCCAAGTGTGTGTGCGTGTGTGTGTGAGTGTGTGAGTGTGTGTGTGTGCATGGCAGATCCAGGCACCCACAGCCCAACCCCCGCATTTTACAGGGGAGGAAACCGAGGACCACAGAGGTGAAGTGACTTGCCCCAGAGATGTGATTTGAACCCAGGTCCTTCCATTGCTTCTCTTTACAAAGTCTTTCTAGGGGACCCCCCCACCTCGAGCTGCTGAAGCTCCTCACCCCATTACGCCCAGTCTTTTTGTGTTCCCACCCCTACCCTACCCTTCCCTTCCTCTGCACTCCCCTTTCGGGGCTGGGTGGTACCATGGAAAAGTGAGGCAGATCTGAAGAAAGCGGGCCTGAATTCAGATGCTGCGTTTCTGCCCGCCCTGGCCCCCCCACCCCTCGTCTCCCGGTTTCGTTTCTCTGGGCGGTGCTCTGGATATCTGTAAGAGGAAGGGTTGAATTGGGCGTCCTCTAAAGCCCCTTCCAGCTCTAAATCTATAAATCTATGGTGCTATGTGTATGTGATTCTAATGCCCCTTCTCTGCGGCTTTCCTCCCCAGCAGCTAGGCTCTTGCTCTCCTCTGCATCCCCTTCGCAGAATTCCTGTAGTCTCAAATCTTCATGTCCTACTATTTGCCATTCCCCTAGGCTCTCCTGCGTCTGGTATTTATTCTGAGAGGCCGCCAGTCTCTATTTCCACAACCCTGTTGCATCACCCTTGAAATAGAGGGTGTCCCAAATGTCCTAGTGCAATTTTAAGCTTTAGTAGTTCTATATGATCCTGTCTACATGCTATTCCCCCTGTCACCCTTCCTCTTTTACTCATTTGTTAGATTAATAAGAGGTAGATCTTGTGGGGTGGGGGACAAAGTTCGACAGCCTTCCCCTTGGAACTGAAACTCTTTCAAGACCCTTGCAAAAAGAAAATCCGATACAGTTTTGTAGCCATTTATTAAGCAATGATTTGTCCCTGGGTAATCTTGTGGTTGAGGAGAGGTGGCATGCACAACAGTATTTTGATAGGCAACTGTGGGTCTGTCCCAGCTGCTATGTTTGAAGGCTGCCAGAACTTGTGGCAGACGTTAACTTCGTTTCTCTAATTCATGTCAGATTTGATCTGACGTTGATTTAATAATACCTTTAACTTTGGGTATCTGTTTATATTTGGAATATGGAAAGATTTGGTGACTGCCTTAGTTTGGTTCCAGAATGGTGAATCTTATCCAAGAGGAAAAGTTAAATATTGTAACCAATACCAATCACTCAGGCCTAGCACTAGGACTGACCTTATTTTTCCACATTTTATATTATGGGTTGTGGTAAATTGGTTTGATGAAAGTGGAGTGAGATTCTACTGTTGCCTGGAGCATCCTCTTCCCTGGCTGACATGCTGGTCTGCTTGCTATTTTAGATTTGGATTAGTGGTGAAATCTGGTTCTAACTTTTGGTAATGGACCAAATAGGGAGGTGAGCTAGAGCTGGAAAGGCCTTTATTTAGATCACCGTTTTCAGATTAATGGCCTATGTATCTTGGGAGAGCCATGGGTATTTCTGGATAGAGAGCAGGCCTCAGAATCAGGAAGACCTGGGTTCAACTTCTGTTTCTGACATAAACTGGTTGTATGATTTTGGGCAGATCACTGAACCTTTCAGTGTTCTAAGCAACTCTCTAAGACTTTATATTGCAAAACAATTTCAGATATGCTCTGGTGGTTTTTAGTATACCTGTGACATCACAGGTCCAATCTCCTCCAACCCCTTCCAGCCCAAAAAACTATTTTAACTAATCTTAATTTGGTTCAATTTGTTTAAATTCTGCAAACAGTTATTAAATATCTGCTATGTAACGAGTACTTACTGTTCTAGGCACTGTGAGAAATACGAAGTTTATTTAATGCACAGACTTCTGCTGTCATGGAGTATTTTACAGTTTTAGATGGCCAAATTGCCTTTGGAAAATTGTATCATTCTTTCAGTCTACCTCAGCTTCTCCCTGAAATAAGGGAAAGATGAGCTCCTTAATACTAATATCCTTCCAGTGTTAAAAGACTGTGAGTCATGAAACATTATAGCTTCTGAAGAACTGAAAATGAAACTCTCCCAAAGTACAATGGAGAGAAGCAAGCATATGGAGGGTATGAGCAGGCTTGCAGTAGATTACCAGCAGGGAATTATGGGGTTTTTTTGTTTGTTTGTTTTTTAGTGAGGCAATCAGGGTTAAGTGACTTGCCCAAGGTCACACAGCTAGTATGTGTCAAATGTTTGGTCTGAGGCTGAATTTGAACTCAGGTCCTCCTGACTTCAGGGCCAGTGCTGTATCCACTGCGCCACCTAGCTGCCCCACCAGCAGGGAATTATGAAGAAGTAAAGTAAAGAATGTTATCAAAGAAATGTGTAAGCATAAAAGACGATGGGCTAGTCACATGGGGGAAAGAGGAATAACAGGTGGACAGTTCATGTGCTCTTTGGTATGCTCCTGTTGTCAAGAGAAATGAGGACAGCCCCCAGGACATTTAGTAGATCCCTTGTGGTAAAATTATATGCTGCAGTGGTACAGGTACCTGTATGTTTCACGTTTATTATGGGAGGAGGGTAGTGGAGGTAGGAATAGAGAAAAAGGCATGTATATGAAGGACTGAGAAGGTAGAATAAACAGAATAAAATCCAATTTTAGCTATTAGATATGAGAAGTGAGGGAGAGAAAAGAGTCAACAACAACAAGCATGGTGTTGAGGATACTAATAATAATAGCTAGCATTGATATAGCTCTTTAAGGTTTGTAAAGCATTCTACATATATTATCTCATTTGAGCCTCACAACAACCCTGTGAGGTAGGTGCTCTTATTATCCTCATTTTACAGATGAGGAAGTATCCAGTATCCAAGAACATTGAGGGTAAGAGAGGGCAAGTGACTTGCCCAGGGTCACACAGGAAGGGTCTGAGGTGGGATTTGAACTCTTGCCTTCCTGACTTCCGGTCTACAACTGTGCCACCTAGTGGCCTCAAAGATAAAAATGAAACAGTACTTGCCCTCAAAGAGCTGCTTATAGTCTATTAGAGACAACATATACACATAAAAATATTTAATGCTAGGGTTTTGGACATGGCAGACTGGGTGTTATCATGTAAGTAGTGAAGGTGTAAGAAGAACTTGTTTAGGAGAAAAGATAATCTTAGTTTTGGACATGTCCAGTTTATGCAGGGGGGCATCCAATCCAATCTGGAGTTGGGAAAACCTGAGTTCAAATCCAGTCTCAGATACTTACTGGGCAAGTAATTTACCCTCTGTCTACCTTATCTTCTATATCTGTAAAATGAGGATAATAATGGCACCTACCTCACAGGGTTATTGTGAGGATTAAGCTCAATATCTGTAAAAAGCACTTTACAAGCCTTAATGAGCTATATAAACAGTTGGGTTATTAAAAAATCTTTAGAGAGAAGGTAGGTGGTGGAGAGGACCAAAAGAGTTACATATGTAAAATGCTTTCAAATCTTAAAATGTTACATAAATATTATTATCATTATTGATATGGCAGTTGGAGATATGTGTCTGGAACTTAGAAGGGAGATTAAGACTGAAGATACTGATTTGAGAGTCAACTTTATGAATGTGATAGTTGAAACTGTGGCAGTCAACAAAATTGCTAAGGACAAGAATGTGGTGAGAGAAGAGGTTGAAAGACATGATGGAGAGAACTTTTTTAAGGGGTTGGTAAGAGGCAGAGGAACCAGGCAAGGATAGTGAACAGAAACTTTTAGAGAATAGGTTGTGTGATGTTTTTGAAGCCACGGAGAGAGCATATTGCATAGGGAAGGGAGAATATCCAGTAGGCTGAAGTGGTTAACCTCGTTAAATGCTGCTAATTTGTATTCTTGAGTGTCAGGTTTCTGGTTGCCTTAAGTTTGAGGATAAATGAAAGAGAATACTGAAAGATTCAGCACAGGCCAAATTACAGAAATCACAAAATTTTATTTTATTTTTAGTTTTTAAATCATAGTCATTTCCAGATATATCCCTTCCTCTTTACATTTTAAACCCTCTTTTCCCACAAACAAACAAACAAACAAACAAAAATAGCTGAGCAAAAACAAGGGACATGGTGATCACATCTGACAACATGTAGAATATCCTGCCCTTATAATTTGTTACTCTTAGGAGTGGTATGTTTCATTTTCTGTTCTCCTGGAGCATTTTTTTTTTTTAGTGACACAGAGTTTGACTTCTTTTTGGTGATCATTTAATTTTTCATTGTTTTAGTCACTGGAATAAAAGAATTTTAGAACTTAGAGGTCATCCAGTCCAATCTATACATTTTCAGATGAAGAATCCGAGGCCTATGGAAGTTAATTGACAAGTTTATACGGTTCATTAGTGGCTTAGGAGTAGAAGCCTTGACTCCACTACTAGCCATGTGCTCTTCTTATTATAGTAGAAATGAATTATTTTCCCTACTTTTTATGAAGAAAATGTTTTTTAGGGCAAATAATTAGTAGTGTAAATTGATTTGAATTCTCATAAAACAAGATCCTTTGAACATAGTTGGCCTGAGTGTGCTGGGGATTAGAAAGGAGGTTTTGTCTCTTCAGCATTCAATCAGTTGTAGTAGCAGAGGAGGATTTTCTCTGGGAACTATTCCAGAAGTGGTACTGTTGTAGGTGCCTTGAAGATAGGTCATGTTCCTGAGGATCATATGTTTGCTGGGCTGTAGCATGAGTATGAGACAAAAATTGTCCAGGGATTCCCTGGTAGGTATTATTTGTACCTCAGCAGCCAGCTTGGTCCCAGTCCTTCCTGGTCCCATTCCTTCCTGAGTAAAAGCTTGCCAGGGACTGCGTCCTAGAAGCACCAGTGCTGCAAGTGTTGAACTGCTAGTACCAGG